CGCCATATCTCCCCAAAGTAATGCTTGCAGTCCTTTACAGAGTGTTTACAATCAATTAAAGATATACCTGTTAACGAAGAACATACGATGAACATGATAATGACAATGACTGACAATGATTGATATATATCGACTTATATATAGCAGTATAATTATTATATACCATGCAACAATTTACATGTGTTGGAATAGTGTTCATACAATACACCCAACACTGAGCCATTCACACAAGCCACATGTTATGTCAGTCACAATAGTAGTACATATAGCAATGGAAACAAAACGATACAGACTGACAGGATCTATTAACAGTAGTATTACAACGAGAATATCTAAACTCTACACAAAGGTATGTTTCGTTCATATTACCACATGAACTTTCAGGTATTGCCAAAGTTATCGCATATAGTTATTATTTAAAGTAAAATATACTATAGTAAAATATAATAAAGGTTGCTCACATGTGTGAATACACAGTGAGCTTATTAGTCAGAAAATGAGCGATTTGATTTAAACATATTTTTCTTCAGTGAATCTGGATCGGTAAAACAAGCCAAGAAGGCTTATGTTAATACATGTACCTCTCCAGTACAAGTAATATTCATGATGGCAATATACAAAATAATGCATGATAATAAATTGAATACTGGTCAAGAACAACAATTTGCCATGTTCCCGAAGCAAGGCCGTTAACTGACTGTAAAAGTCCATCTATATTGTAATAAAACGGGTCTTCGCATCAAATCACGTGACCACCTTGATTTAAAACATCAAACGATTTGGAAAATATCTGTAGACGCCGAGCTGGCGGTACACGTGATTCGCAAATCCTGCCATCGACCGACATCATGGCAGTTTACGAACCGGATATCGATTTCGTTGGACTACAATACAACCGAAATATAATTCCATATTTCCAGCCAAGTTTGGCAAGGGTTAAACTGGACTTTTATACTCAGTTAACGCCCTTGCATCGGCAAGATTTATATTTGCAGCATTAATAGTGTCGCATTAGTTTAAACCTTTGGGAATGAGGTATGCATGGATGTGTTGATTTCAAGATATCTAAATTACTAGAGTTAAAAAAAAACAGCATTTCGATTTCATGTACTGTTGACATCAACTCCCTCAGAGTGGAAGAATGAATCATATCTTTTTCATTATAATGGTCATCGGAACCGGAAATGAAAAAGTGTGATCCAAATAGTGTACATATCAAAAGAACAAGCTACGTTATCAGAAATGTGTCTTTCATATCGAAGGGCATTTAGATCACCGCAGCCAAGTCTGAGGCGAGAATGTACAATCTGACAAAATCAACTTACCGTGACTTGCAACTCCTGCTCCTCCGCACATCGTCCTGAATGCGTCTATCTCAAACAATTTTTTTTTTTTTCAAGTGTTCTTGTTCTTTCATAAAGTTGTCCCAAATATGAGAACAATAATCGAGTCTACAGCCGCGTTAGACATAATTTTCTAGCGATTTACGTATTAAAAGTAACTTATCAGCTCACTGAGCAATATTATCTAGGTCATTATAATTTACATTTGCAGTGGCATTTGAATCTTCTACGATTATATACAGTCGTATTAACAGCAAACAGATAAATGTTAAAATTTCTTTTTGACCAAGATATTTTACCCTGAATAGTGATATTAATCTCTGTGGTCTGTTCTCGGGGTAGCTGCTAAACTACCTTAACATATTTCCATCGATACCACATGAATTCAATTTAAACAAAATATGTTTATGCCATATTTAATCAAAAGGCCTTGCTAACATCACAAAATACTTCTTTCTGACTGTCCAAAGCATTAGCAATACAATCATACCGGTGTTTTAGCAGATAAACAGCAATGTCTCCAGGCATTAATCCAGTTTGTAGGTTAGTCAAAATATTATCTCTAAAGAAATTGAGCACGTACTTGAGAACACACATCTCGAAGACTTTTGTAAAAAAAAAAGTGAGAGCAACTGATCGGTAGCTTGAACATTCATTAAAACTACCCCTTTTACAAATAGGTATTACGAAAGCTTCTTTCCATACCAGTGGAAAAAAACTGAATTACTTACGGACAGTTGTGTAAGAGGGTCGGACATAGGGGTTGCAATTAACTTTAATAATCTGTTGCTAATTCCACCCTGTCCAGTAGCAACTGGTTAATGTTAAATTACTTAGAGCAACATCAACATGGATAACATAGTGAGGCAGCCCTTTGTTTGGATGTAGAACTTGTCAGTGTCAGTTAATTAGTAATTGATCCAGCTTCATAAAGAAGTATACCATTGTAATATATCGGTAGAAAGATGTGATTTGCATATATTTTAGCTTTCATATACTAGTACTATCCTAACAGTTGTTATTTAGTTGTTCATCTATCCTGCCGAATAAGTCTACGAATGTTGGAAGTAATCCATGATTCATCTAATTAATTAATTAATCTAATTCTTACTTACTTATCACAATAGCCTCTACAATGCCACTTGCAAAACTATCAACATTCGAAGAAACAATCTTTTCGACCCAGTCAACATTAGCAATGCTTCGATTCATACTTTCAACATTGGCTAAAGGATAGAAATAAAGGCCTGATTAAAATGGCAATGAAGTTATTATTGTCAAATTTAGTGACGCTTAAATGTATGACAGTTTTATATATATTACATGGACAGCTCTTGGTTATTTTGGACAGCCATTGGCCATAGTTGACAGTTCATGGTCATATTGGACAACTCTTGGTCATAGTAGGCAGCGCTTGGTCATAGGGTAGAGCTGTTGGTTATAGTGGCCTGGTGATCCACATGTGCCTAAGGGGCCGCAATTCCCTAGGGCGTGCCAGGATGCGATCCCGATATGAATATCAGATTTGCTCTGATTATATCCTTGGTTTGGCATCATACCAGTGCTCGTGGGTACACCAACATGGTAAACGTCCAGCTCCCATGAGCTGACACTCTTGTGATAGAACTGAAATGCTGTTTAAGCGTTAATCCCATATTCCCGAGGCAAGGGTAGTCAGTAGATGCGTTAATCCACGATCCCATTAAGTCACTCATCTACTAATTAACTCACCAACATAACATTAAGAGCTGAAACGTTGTTAACAAATCTTAGCATGTCATGTTTTACATTGAGAAGGGTAGGTCAGGTGGTCTAGTGGTTGAAGCGTTCGCTCCTCAGGTTGAAGACCCGGGTTCGATTCCTGATATGGGTACAATGTGTGAAGCCCATGTTCCCTCCATATTGATGGAATATTGCTAAAAGCGGCATAACACCATACTCACTCACTACGCTGAGAAGCTGCAGTATTCTAAATTGTAAGATGCTTCCTTAAACTGCTGAACAGGCAATCAGAGGTTTGAAAGGTTGACAATCCCGTCATTCTCATGGAAGTTACTGGATACATACAACTGCACCTGTCGAAGATGGATTGTAAACCCATATACCATCATTTGTACTGCTTAGTAGCAAACATGGTTACACCGGTGACTCTTAGTCTTCAATCCCTTGACTCAAAATATTAAAAATGAATGAGATTGTACTCTATTTGCATAATCAAATGCTATAGGGTCTAGCAAGCGCTTGCAGAGTGCGTCCTTCAGTAGTGCCACATTCCCTTTAGTATGGGTTCGAACCCCAATTCGCCCTAAGATAATTGCTTTTTAGCACTGTATCCTTGCTTGTTTACCACCTGCGTCACATTGTGCCTTCCTCCCACATGGAGCTGACAAGCCGTGATATGCCTAAATTAGTGTTCACAGAGTGCCTGTCAGTGGGTTCGATCCCCAGCTGCGTCATGCCAAAAGACGTTAAAAGATGTTTTGTTACCCTGTCTGGCACTCGGCATTAAGGGGCTGAAACAAGGACTGCTCAGCTCGGAGTAGTGAGTGGAATATCCAAGTTAAACTGTGGCATGGTATCTGAGTGGGCTAGAGCGATAAAATCGGCATAAGGCCGGACTAGCACACACAGACACAGACACAACCTCTATTGTTCCTATTGTCGAGCATCTCCTTCTGTTTCTTGACTAGGACTTAACCCTCCAACAATCCCATCGATGGGAACCTTTCCCATTTGTGCTAGATTGTTCCTTTGTTTCTCAGCTTCATACATCATAACATGAGTTAACCTTTTTATGTGGATGAAAGTCCCTTTGTCATAGAAGTCTTTCACTAGACTGTAGTCTGTAAAGGCGTATTGACTGTACAAGCTCATGGAAGTAAGGAAGCTATTTGGACTTGTCAGAAAAGGCCCCTGTAATGGGCAGTGACATCCCAGTTCAGGGATTCATTGAACAGGAAGTAGATAATCTATGAGATGACTTTGTTTTTGTTTGTTGTTCAACGCCGCACTCAGCAATGTTCCAGCTATATGATGGTGATCTGTAAATAATCGAGTCTGGACAAGACAATCCAGTGACTGACATCAGCAGCATCGATCAATGCAATTGGGATACGAAGATATGCATCAACCAAGTCAGTGAGCCTGAATTGTTGTAGAAAGATAATGGATGCAACCTTCAAAAGAGGTGTCCTGAGATCTTAACGCAAAGAAGTATCATATCCAGAAGAAAGACTTGATTTTATTGAGATTGCCTGATCCCCTTTCAGAATCTCTTGTGACCAAGGCAGAAGTAATGGAGGCCTGTACTGCCTTTGAATTTTTAGGAGAGGCTGTGCTGTTACCAATTACTAGTTGTCAGACCATGATTGGATATCTTTAAACTTCAACATGTTTAAGAGTTATTAAGTTTCAAAAATTAGAAACCTCTAAATTAAAAGCCCAGTTGGATTCACTCCATTCTCTCGCTGCAGTGATGCGGAAGAGAAGCAAACTAATAGTCTGAAATATATTTGATACAGCCAAGGACCAATCAAAATGCAAGATTTCAAAGTGTCAAGTTAGAATAAAACTTGAAAGATGACCACCTTGATGAATGCCCTGAAATGGATCTGTAGCATCCCCAAGGCCAGGTGAGAAGTATAACATAAATACATATTTCCAGAGAAAATATTTATGCAACATATCTGTGTAATTTGCAAAGTGTACACAACATGCAGATCCTGGGGATATCTCAATCAGACATTTCCACACATCTACATGCCCAGCACCCATAGTGAAGCATAGACTATACTTAAAGGATGTACCATGCATCTCTTCAAACATATATACAGAGCTTAAATCTGTTGCCACAATCACTACAGTTCTTTTTGAGATCTACCTCCTTGTTGTACCACAACCAGACTGTGTGAACTGACACAAGATACTGTGACCTAAATTATGGTCCCCCAACTGGGGTCAGTTAAATAACACACTGGCTCACATGACAGCTAGGACTTTGTATAATATTGTTCAAGCTATCACCCAAAGGCATGCTCTTAATCAGCATCCATCTATTGTCACTGTTCCATACACGGATACATTGCTTTTTGCCACATTTAGAGGTTACTCCTCCTCGTTATCTCCTTCATCTTCAAACATCTGGTCAAATGCCTGGAAGTCGGGGGGTTTGGTCTGATTTTGTTGAGGGTCTGTCTTTTCTTCCGCAAAGTCCAATCGTATGAGTCCACTCATGAATGCATATCCCACCATTGTGGTCAGTGCAAAGACTGCTGCTAGAACCATGTTCCTTCTCTTGTTGGGGAACTCTGCAGCATCAGAGTTGGTGTTGCGACGTTTCTCTTCTGCTTCTTTCTTTCGCTTTGCTTCTTGCTCTAGATAACAACAAACATCCAGTTACTCTCATTTTGGTTGGTTGGTTTGTTGTTTAACGCCTCACTCAGCAATATTCCAGCTATATGACTGCGGTCTGTAAATAATCGAGTCTGGACCAGACAATCCAGTGATTGATATCATGAGCATCGATCCACGCAATTGGGATCAATGACATGTATCAACCAAGTCAGCGAGCCTGACTACCTGATCCCGTTAGTTGCCTTTTACAACAAGCATAGTCGACTTTTACGGCAAGCATGGGTTGCTGAAGACCTATTCTACCCCGGAATCTTCACGGGTCTACTCTCACTTTGATGCCATGTAAATAATCAAATGATGACAAGCTACTAGACAATCATCCATGATTATCCCATATATTATATCTCCATTCTATTAAGATAAATACAGTTTCTCCAGCTTGCTACCATAGCTTCGTTCTGAACTGGATTCAAATGCCATGACGAAAAAACATAGCCATTCGATCAAATTGCACTCATGACAGGACAGATAGATGTTGACATCACATTCGAAACAAAGGTATGGTGGAGGAAGAGTTCAGGGTATCTGGCATAATAACATGGAGGTCTACTACACAGCATAATCCAGGATGCTAGACAATTGTAGTTGAGATTCCTTTATAACATGCTGACAACAAACTCATTGTCTCCATTGCTGAGGAATGACATAATTTTGTTAACAACATAACTAGCAGCTCCTCCAACAGGCCTCAGTCCTGACCTATCAATATAAAAAGTTTACAGACATATTTTCTTAAATTGAGATAAACATTATCAGAGTATTTCTGCATTTGTCAATATTTCAAAGTAGTTGTGGATACCGCCATTCTACTATGGAAAGTATTAACTCAGTGTCAAGAACAGTATTTTACACTCAATGACATGTACCAGAGAGTGGGTAGGATTCCATACTGACAACAAATGATAAAAAAAGGTAATATTTCTGAAATCCTATTTCAAATCTACACTAAAATAGCCAGCTCTGAACTGAGATATCTGTGTTTCAACTCCACTTTTTCTCATTGTGTTTTTATCAAAATCAAAGTGTATAATGTAACTAATTTCTACTGAGCATTTATGTCATGACATGACAAGACTGTACATGGATTAAAGTGAAAGTGGGAACATGTAATATGACTTCTCCAGTGCTGACGGAGATGTGGTAGTGTATTAAGCCACGTGGAATCTGGTAAATGACATTGATAGTTCTAAGGGAGATTTTTTTAAATGTTCTCAGGGACACCTGATCTTTGTAACATGGGACAGCTAGTTACAGGAATGACACCTCACAACTTCACAATTTCCCCTGAAACACTTCTTGGCAAGGTTCACACAGAGGGTGGAGCAAGGGTAGAAGACATTCTCGAATGCTCAACTACTGCCTCCTGTACTGTTAGGATGATGTACTGATGCTGTTAGAAGCAGAGATTTATCAAGACCTATTCCGAGGCCGATATTTACAAACACTAGTTTGAGCAAATGACAGTTAAAGTTCCTAAATGCAAAAAAAAATAAATCATTCTTGTTATTACAGTTCATATGATAATGTTTCTCCCAATTTTCCTGCCAAGGGCACTTAATATGGAATTCTAGATAAATCCATCTAGACATTTACAATATTTATTAACTGAATGAGCTATTATCTGGGAAAGCCACTAAATTATTGTTTCTGTGTGGTTACTGTTTGATGCTGAGAATAATAACAATGTCATTCATCTAATAAGGCTACAAAAACAATAAATGCCTTAATACCTTCTGGATCTGGAGGGAAATATCTCTGCAGTATCTTGTTGACAAGACTGCACAGATTGTCACAGCCTTTTAGGTGGTTCTGTATTTGGTTGTTGGGCAGTGGTGCCTTCAGTATCGGGGCCAGATAGCCAAACACGAGAGCATCCAGCGATGAGGGTCTGTGTAAACACAAGCAATATCAGCCATCACAATAAGAAGTCAGGGCAGACACTCATGACAGGAAGTCAGGGCAGACGCTAACGACAGTAAGTCAGGGCAAAAATGACAGGAAGTCAGTGTAGATACAACAGGTAGTGATGGCAGACACAAACGACAGGAAGTCAGGGAAGACATGAAAAGAAGTCAGTCAGAGCAGACACTTATGACAGGAAGTCAGGGCACACACTCATGACAGGAAGTCAGGACAGATATTCACGATAGACGTCAGACAGGGCAGACATGACAAGAAGTCACTCGGTGCAGACACTCGAGAAAGGAAGTCCATCTTCCCGAGGCAAGAGAGTTAACTGACTTTATAAGTCCAGTTTCCACCCTTGCCGAACTAGGCTGGAATTCCTGGGCTCGATCGTAGCGCCACCAGTGGCTATTACCAGTAATGTCCTATCTATGCCTCTCCTATTGACCAATCAGATTCAACCTCTCGTATCACTTGCATTTGCTTCAATCAAAACGGTGGCGCCCAGTCAAGACAATCTGATCGATAATCAAGATCTATATTGTGATCAAACGAGTCTTTCATTGTGAAGTGCATCAAATCACGTGTGCACCTTGATTAAAATATCTGTTGACAACAAGTTAGCGGTGCACATACTTTGCAAATCCCGCAATCGACCGAAATCTGCATGACACTTTACGAACCGGATTTCTATTTTGGTGCGCGATTTTGATGGACTATGCATTGACTCGTTAGTCCAGCCAAAATGTAACTCCATAATACCAGCTTAGTTCGGCAAGGGTGGAAACTGGACTTTTATAGTCAGTTCACTCACTTGCCTTGGGAAGATGCAGGAAGTCAGGACAGAGACGATAGGAAGTCAGGACAGAGACGATAGGAAGTCAGGACAGACTCTCATGATAAGAATTCAGGGCAGATACTCATGATAAGAAGTCATTCATTGCAGACACTGACAGTCAGGGCAGACATGACATGAAGTCAGTGTGGATACAACAGGTAGTCAGGGCAGACACAAATTACAGGAGGTCAGGGCAGACACTAACGACAGGAAGTCAGAGCAGACATGACAGGAAGTCAGTGTAGATACAACAGGAAGTCAGGGCAGACACAAATTACAGGAGGTCAGGGCAGACACTAACGACAGGAAGTCAGAGCAGACATGACAGGAAGTCAGTGTAGATACAACAGGAAGTCAGAGCAGGCATTATAGGAAGTCAGTGTAGATACAACAGGAAGTCAGGGCAGACATGACAGGAAGTCAGTGTAGATCCAACAGGAAGTCAGGGCAGACACTAACAACAGGAAGTCTGGGCACACATGACAGGAAGTCAGTGTAGATACAACAGGAAGTCAGGGCAGACATGACAGGAAGTCAGTGTAGATCCAACAGGAAGTCAGGGCAGACACTAACAACAGGAAGTCTGGGCAGACATGACAGGAAGTCAGTGTAGATACAACAGGAAGTCAGGGCAGACATGACAGGAAGTCAGTGTAGATACAACAGGTAGTGAGGGCAGAGACTAACGTTTAATATTAAACCCTCAAAACAACACATCCAACTTTAAAGACCTAGGCAAATACTTACTCCAAACAGATCTAATCAATCGCATTTAAAAATAAAAAACAAAACCTCCAAATAAGCAAATAAGCTAACCAAAACAATAAAAACTAAACTCAAACTCAAACCACAACTCCCTTAGGCTCTCCACCAGGGGTCCGGAAAATTTAAAATCCCAATCGGACATTTGCATTTAGGCCACGCCCCCTTCAAATAGCGTATTTTAGTACGACTTTTCACACACATTACAAGTTTACGTATTCATAATATGATGAATTATGAATCGTTTCAATTTAAATTGTTTAATTCACCGGACAATTAATAACGAATAATATCAGTTTAGATATACATGGAAAACATACGTTTGTTTCTGTTATAATAACGATCTGTTAACGTAGTGAATGGTCTAATTAATATTCATGAGTTATATTCATGAGTCTGCTCAAGTGTACGTGTTGTAACATTTGGATCAAGACTATTATCCCAGATTTGGTCATCACGTGACCTCATGGGAAAAGGGTTTTTTTAAACTAAAGATTATTTAAAAACAAGACAGATAATTTAATCACAAATACTAAAATATCGTTGATAGCAATAGTTATTTGAATACTTTTTTTATCTGTACTTAATTATTGACCATAATTTTATTTGCTATTGATCGTCCGAGAAAGCAAAATGGCGGTCAAACAAGATTCAATATACTACTAGCTACTGAAAACAATAAAATCTGCAAATCCTCATTGTATGTCAACAAAGTGAAAGTCGTTAGCCACGATTGACAAAATGATCGTCCAGACTTTGAGGGTTTGGCAGATCCGCTCGACTGATCTGCATCGGTCGACTGGCTGTCGTCCCGCTTTCGCTTCTTGTCTGAGGTTACGTATCGTAGCATTGTGAGGATAATGAGGTACATCACTGACTGACTGACTGATATAGAAGATTTAACGTGCGCTTTCCGACTGCAGCGTATTTCGCACACGGGCCTGGCCAGACCATTTAGTGTATGAGGTACATCGATGATGCAAGGTATTTATGTACAGTTGTAAACACCTTTCACTCAAATTAACAAGATGTTCTCAGTAATTAATCCTTGATTAATCAGTGTCAACTCAGTTTATTGCCTATTACAGTGATTGACCGATTGGACTATCATGTAGGTACGATGTATTTACAGCAATCAAAACAAACAAAGCTTGTCAGTGTAGATAATCTTCATTGTGTTGTAACTGCAGACAGAAACTACTCAGTCCTAACTGTTGATCATGTCCGGTCAAAATTTAAGAATGTCCGGACAATACTTTTAAAAATGTCCGGTAAGCAATATTTTCAACCAGACATTTGAGATTCCCAATTGGACATGTCCGGCGCATATGACGGTTTCCGGACCCCTGCTCTCCACTCCCTGGCATACATTCCAAATCTCCAAATTTCTATATAAGCAATCCCTAAAAGCCCCAAATCGGATTGCAAATTATGTAGCTCCTTTCGGCTAATACACTAAATGACCTGGCCAGCCCGTGTGTCACATACGCTGTTAGTCGGAAAGCACTCGTTAAATCCCCAACCTCAGTCAGTCAGTCAGACTAACGACACTAAGTTAGGGCAGACACTAATGACAGGACAGGGCAGGCAGGAGCAATAAAAAAAGTTTTCAATGTCGCCAGTTCTTGTCTCAGAAGATAACAATTATCTGAAATAGTTCCATCCAAAGGCAGGAACATCAACTTTGTCATGGCATTATATAGCAAAAGTAAACCACAGTAAATGCATGCAATCATGTAGCACATAAATAATATTTGATAACTCAACTCACGTCTTCCCAAAGAAAAACTCCTGACTACCAAGCTTGTACGACAAGTGGTTAAGACACTCTTTGGCATCTCTGTAAATCTTCCCCTCAACCTCACTGTCAGTGACATTCTCCCCTCCTTTAGAAAGGAAGACGCGAAGGTTTGCATCTTTCTGTTTCCGCCCAGGCACATAGAAGTTCAGTGGGAATGGGATGATTCTAGCATACCATGGCCGTGTAAAGTCTGTGAATGTCTTACCATCTATCCACCACAGGTGCAACTGCAAGCAGAACATCAACCAGTCAACAGTAGGAACCACGAAAAATGTACTGAAATTTGACATTCAAACTTTCTATATATTTTATTTATCTTGTTATCAGGGAAATAACAGCCACCTCCACAAAGCCATATATTTGTCATAACTATATTGACCTGAATTTGTAAAACCAACTTGAGAATTTTGACTGACATTTGCTGCAGACTTTGGCCCGCATATTGGCCTCTGAGCAGGTCGACATACATCTCTGCAATTCTTCTATGAAAGGATGAAGTCATGAGAGTTATATTTCTCCCATAACTGGCATAGAGTGAGTTCGTTATGGCACTGTTTGTAGCAATATTCTAGTCATGTCATTTGGGGTGGGGAGAGACACCATAAATGAGCTTCACACATTGTGCCCATGCTGGGAATTTAAGCAGAGCCTTCACTGTGATGAGTTTTCACTCTGACTCAGTGACTTTGCCAGACAATACATGTAGTGCAAGGGACATAACTCTGACAAACTAACTACACATGTTTATGATTGCTTACCATATTGCACAACTTGGTTATAATATTGACTTTGTATCTAAAACAATTTCAAATATATGTGTCAATATGAATTAGATTTCCATTATGAGTTGGGCACTAAAAGGTGCACGCTATATTGACACTACAACTTCTATACAATGGTCATGAGGGTACCCGATCCTGTCAACCACTTACAACAGCAGGCAGTAGTTTTTCTTCCAATAGTGAGGAGAAGGCTATAACATCAGCACTCTGTTTGTTGGTCAGTTCAAAATCTGAGCCCCAGTTCTGAAAAAGAGTACACGGACACTAATGTGATGACAAACCTGGATCTCATCATCCACCTTGAAAGCAAGTTGTGAGGCACATTATAGACCTCTGCATGCTTCTCCTGGTGGCTTGGATGAGTGACTGAGTATGGCTTTTTAGGCGGCTTTATCAATATTCCAGAAATATCATGGCGAGGGATACATGTTTGATAGGCTCACACATTGTAACTATCGAACATGGGATTTCAGAATGACAAGCGAACGCTTTAACCACTAGTCTACATCATCTCCTCCATGCTCCATCTTGAATGAAATTACTGGACAATGGAAAACACTGACATTTGTCTCATGTCCACCTTATTCCCCTACTTCCATGATTACATTTTTACTACGGTCTGCTCAATTTCTGAACATAAAAATTCTTTTCATGTTGCAATCTAATTCACAAAAGTAGGTAACTTCTTGTGAATTCTTATACAAAAATATCCCATTCACAACTCTTTATAAACATTTATTGCATACCTTTTTACGTAGAAAACTGAATATCTCTGCAACTTTAGTCTCTGTGATGCCTTTATGCTTCAGCATGGGGAACTCCCCTGAAGAGAAAGGTAGCTCAGTATCACAGGTCATCACATGTGCAATAGCTCTCATCAATGCTAGTCAGGTAAAGTAACTATGCAATCATGACAATACATATTGCTGTAACACCCTCATGTGAATAATGAGCCAAATATGCACACTAACAAAACCAAGCACTGTATAATAGCATTTTAATATAACGAACAATGCTAGAACGTCATCCAAAAAAAGAGTCGGCTCTGATAAACTTTCAAAAGAGTACTGAAACATTTTAGAAGTCCTGCTGAAAATTGACTGGCAACAGGTGGGTTTAAGTCTTAAAGCCAGGGATCCGGAAACCGGACTAGTCCGATTTGAAATACAAGTTAGTTCAAACCGGACACTTTAAAATTTGCCAAAAGGACATATGAGCAGGATATTACAACCTGAAACTGGATATCATAACAAAAGATACAAAATAAAGAGCTGCAACCAGACTGAAATGTCTTTGTTGTTGATTAGTGTATACACGACTTACAAAGGTGACTAGACGCTATCGGTCAAAATCAATCACCACAGGTAAGTGACACTGATTGGAGTCGTAGCTCAAGGGTTTTCAAAACATTATTAAGAATCGACAGATGTAGATTGATGACGGAGACACTGGACAGACTTATGTGTATATCGCTTTGACCAAAGTTGATGGACTTTGACCCAACACGGACAATGCGACGCTGGAAGGCTAGACACAACCAACAGTAATACAGTGGAAACTGTTCAAAAGCCAAGTTCGCAAAACCTCCATCCGATAGGTTGACATTGTATATATCAAATCTATGTACCGTTGAATTGTTAATAAATTGAATATACATCATGTATCTATGTTATAAAAGTGACACTTAAGTTATATTCTTTTTATTCATGCATGAATATCCAGCACCTCAGATATGAGGTGGGCGTGACCAAAATGTAAATGTCCGATTGGCAAAAACATATTTCTGGATCACTGCATAAAACTGTCTGTGAGAGCAGTTGTATCTGCGTTGCTGGACACATATTCCATGACACATTGTATGTGCAGACACAGTTGAGATATAGACAGGTCGGGGTAATACCTGAGGGGGATCTGAATGTATTTCCTGTCTTTCTCACTCGCACAGGAACACCAGAGAATCTACAGTAGGCCTGCACAATAAAAATCATATAACATGTCAAACACTAGCTAAATAAGATGAGTTTATCAATAATCATGATAAGTAACAAACTGTTTCAGTTTCACTGAGATTCCCATACAAGTACTGGAATATGTAGGCTGAATTTAACATAGAACAAAGTACCAAGGGTACAGAACTTGCCTTTCACTGTTATTTTAACACTATGATTGTGAGGATGGCTTAACTAAATGTTTTTTTTCTGCAAAAAATACTGCCTGAGTCTTGAATTTCATCTCTCATAAAATATCCAGAATTCCCTACAAGTAGGAATTTATCAACATGAAAATATTGTTTACATGATCTCATTTTGCTGTCCTTACTGACAAAAAATATTCATTGCTCACCCAATGACCAAATGATGTCAAAACAGACTTACTAATGGATATATAAATACAGTTATAATATATGAAGTTCAAAAGTTTAAAGATGCCTGAAATATTTACTACATTTCACTTTGCACAACATTCAATCGAAAAAGCAGTAGCGCTTGTCTCCCTTTGATAATGCTGCACTATGTCCCAACTATGAGGATGGGATTTACAGGTCATCCAGCTAATACAAGACGGCACCGATGTTTCCAGTACAGTACCCAGATACATTGAAACATACATAGCAAAGTGAAATCCTAGGTTGCATCTGACAATACTGAAGACTTTCAAGCAAAGGTCACAGTCATCCATAAAGGCTAAAGCCTTTGACCATAATCAGCTTGAAATATTTGTTTCATAAATATTACAGATTATTTTGACACATTGGTCATGGATTTGATCTTAATTACCAGGGTGACAACTGACAAGTGATAAAACAAGTTTTTTAAAATCCTTGCAAGAAACTTCTCTAACCATAATGTGACTACTTCGGGACTACCCTTCCTGGGTATGTGCTGCTGTTATCACGGTACTGCACCAGAAATGTGGAAACCATCCTGGACTAGATGGACACCTAAGTCTCCTGTACTACCTATCCTCATAAGGACTCTTAGCTCTCAACTGTGTGCCAGGATCTACACATGCAAGCAGTGTTTATAAAGCCATGTTTGCCAGGCATGGAGAAGAAGGCCTATACATGCTCAATGTATATAATTCTCATAAAGTAGTGTGTGTACTGAAAACACAACAAAAGGAACTTGACTCTTAGAATATTTTAAGTTTTAAAAAGGTGATTGGGTGACATTATTAAAAGGATTAGTATTGTCACTTATATCTGGCATAATTAAAGGAAAATCAGTCAAAGGATGTTGGATAAGCCTCCCAGACAATGCCATGCACTATGCTGCATATGGCAGGTGCTAATTTATAAACATTGTTGTCTATGTAGTTGCGTTTTTGTGTGTTTGTGTTTTTGTTGTATAGGTGAATGATTTATTTGTTTGTATTAATTGCAGGGTCACTTTGTTCTCTGGTCAATCATGCCTTGAAATAGTATTGCTGGACTTGTATTAGCCATTGCAATCTCTATGAATGTTGTTGTTAGTATGCCTACTTTGATATTTCATTTTGACAATATATAATATTTCTGGTTGTCACTTCATCACACAAAAATATTGTTAAAATATGGGCATTAAATATACAAGGCTTCAAGTTACTTCAGTCCTATTTGCAATATCTGGAAAGATAAGTATTGAAACTTTAAATACAACATTCCGTGGGAATGGCAATGCCTTAACATGTGTAGTTCTGGATGGTAGATAATCATTATTAGAAGGAGCACTACACATAGCTCTGATCTTAATAGCTGTGAAGTCATAGCCATGTATTATTACTTCCGAGAACAATGTCATGATGAGCTGCTCCAATGGCTGCATATAATGAACAAGTGATCACATGGTGTGACCTGTGCACAATTTTAGAATACAATCCACAGCTGGAACTGGGAACTGTGTTGTACAACTGGAAGTCATTTTTCATACATTGTAAGACAGATGTTGCAATTATTTTTGCTATAGGTAACTAAATGTATGTCTCTAACATTTCTTTCATTCATAGAGGACACAATTTGAAGTGTTCAGCAAAGTTATACAACCCTTGACAGACTTGCAGGTACAGCAAGCCAGTGTCAACACAACAACACAAGAACATCCAAACAACCAGTGACAAGGTGAAACATCTGGATTAGATCAAGATCATCAAGTTCTTGTACCGGGAAGAGTTCCACCACATGTCTTGTGTACTCTATTGCAGTTCTCCTGGGTGTTTGGGAACCTTCACAACCTGATCACAGAGAAGAGGGCCAGGTTTAAGGCTCTGTTTAATCTGGGTTTGGCACCAAAGCCACAGTCACTGGTCGGACCTGTTGCATTGGTCATACCCAAACCACTGTTCCCCATGGATATGGGGGAACATAAGGTCAGCCCTGTGGAGGCAGGGACACCACAGGTAATGCATTCTCTAGTAATGGAACAGGCTTTGGACATACTTGTCTTTGATGAGGCTGTCTCAGGGTCTGATGGCCAGTCCCTTGCAGATCCCAATCTACCTCATGCCACCAACTCCCACTGTCACATCTTCCCAAGGCAAGGGAGTTGACTATAAAAGTCCAGTTTCCACCCCTGCCAAACTAGGCCGGAATTATGGAGTTATATTTTGATTGGACTAATGAGTCTATGTATAGTCCAATCAAACTCATGTAACGAAATAGACATCCGGGTCAGATTGCAGGATTTAAAAATCATGTGTATCGCCAACTCGGTGTCAATAAATATTTCCCAAACGTTTTCATGTTTTTAATCAAGGTACTCACATGATGTGATACTCTTCGCAAAGTAAAACCTGTTTTATTACAATAGAGATCTGATTATCGTTCAGCTTGTCTTGACTTGCACTGCTATTTTGTTTGAAGCAAATGTAAGTGATAGGAGAGGTGGAATCTGATTGGTCAATAGGAGGGGCACAAAAGGGACATATCTCATAATAACCTCTGATGGCACTACAATCAAGCCCAGAAATTTAATCCTAGTTCCTCAAGGGTGAAAACTGGACTTTCAGAGTCATTTAATGCCCTTGCCTCAACAGTTGCCACTGTCATGTCTATAGGTAAGACAAACCGGCAGGTATCTGAAACCTAAAGTAAAGGACCACAGCAACATCCAGACAGGCCATTTCAAGTGGTTAGCAAGGCATCTGTTCACTGTGACCCAGCAACATACCTAAAGGTCACAGGCTATGATGCGCAGCTTCACCATGATATTGGCTGTCATCCCAAGAAAGCTGACCAACATAAGAAGGGTATCAAGGAGAAGATCAGCCACCCCCTGAGAGGAGAAGTCATCTGTATAGACCAGTCCACTCACACAGCAACAGGGCGGGTTATTCCAATGCCTCCTCAAGTTCAAGCCATCAGGCCTACCAGTGGTAAGAAATAACTTGGTACACAATGACTTAAGTGAGGTCCACGGGACAAAGGTGAAGTGTCAATCTCATTAAAGTAAGACCTAAGTTCTTGCTTAGGACATTCCATTATGGGTCACTTCAACATGTGTTCAAGTCACAGTCAAAAATTGTTTTTTTAATCATGCAGCCTCAAAAACGTTAACAGGATATTCAAAACAACATTTACGGGCTATTTGACTGATTCCATCAAAATCATTGTCTATCTCTTGCTTCTATGGGATACACATTTGAACAGAAAAGACTTTACACAGCCCATGTGATTAACTGCCATACAATCTTGGACTTTTATTAGACATTCCAGAAAGTTTAGTTTTCAAATATTGTCATAATATTTTTCAAAGCTTAGTCTTGCATGGAGGTCGCCAGTTTGATACTAGTGCCATATAGATTGAGAAAGCTGCTTTCTAAATTGGTTAATGTCAACTTCTTGTTAGTTCATCAAGTTCTTGAGAGTTTGTTCAGACATGACCTGTAATAGGATGTCCTCAGATATTTGTTTAGCGGTAGCAAGAACTAAGATCTGATTCTAACGAAATTAAGTGGAGTAAATACTCGCCACCACCAAAGCCAAGCTCTGCACCACTTCTAAGTGATGAGGGTGGCACCTGGATCTACTCCTGGGTGTCAGGGAAGTAAGCTAGCTGAAATACACAAGAGACACACATTATGGGTATTTTGCATCATCTGTATCCAGCAGCAATATCAGCAGTCTGTTGTGTTGCAATACATAAATAAGCCCTTAACACCTCTCCTAATGGAATGTATGGAGAAGGATTGTAAGAATTTGGAAGATTCACACAGCTGAATATACCAAAGACCCAGTGCATCCTCTACAACAACACCCAGCATCATCTAGCAATGATGTAAGTTTCAAGAAGTGCCTGAGCAGAAATGATAGAAGAGGCCCTTCAGCAAGGATATACTTCTTTGGTTGTACCAGAGCCTAGAAAACTGGGAGAAGCTGGTGAGACAACTCCAACTTCCGTGTGGAGATCATTTGTTTATGTAGGTGAGGTGAGGTGAGGTGAAATTGGGTTTAACGTCGCGTCCAAGATTATTGCACTTATATAGCGATGTGCATGCACGTGTGTGTCTGTGGCTGCTTGTACTAGTCCGGACTGATGCCGATTTATAGTGATAGCTCACTGAGATACCATGCCACAGTTTAACATGAATACCCCACTCAGACACAGTATACTGACTCCGACCAGTCCTTGTTTTAGCCCCTTAATGTCGAGCGCCAGACAGGGTAACAACAAGTACCATCTTTAAGCATCTTTTGGTATGACGCGGCCGGGGATCGAACCCCAGACGTTCCGCTCTCTGGGCGGACGCTCTACCACAAGACCACGGAGGTGGCTTGTTTATGTAGGAATAACTCAAGCAGATGAGGCTAAGCACTGGGACTTCGGACTGTTGCCATCTAAAAGGTAAATCCATGGGTTCTGAGCTCTCTTCTCACTGTCATGGACGGTTATGTAATATAACTGTCCAAATGAGAGCAGCTAATCATAACATTGTTCAATGAAGAAATAATGCTACAGCTATGTAATGATTGTTCTGCCCTACTGTTACGTTTTGAAAGTACTGCTCGCTAACACAGATTCGGAACAAATCCCTCACAAGCTCCGTCAGAGTGCAAAAAAGAATATTGTGGATTCGCAGGAAAACTTTCGTCTGCTAAACTGCTAAATGAAGAGGATGATTATTTGCTTAGTTAAGGGAGTGCATTACATGAAACATCAAATCCACACTTAGACCCAGACCAATGACAACACAAAGTTGTTGATTTGAACTGAGCACCATAGCATGGAACCTGTAGGTCTGTACCTATAAGGCATGTAACAGTATAACTATAAGAAACTGCTGATTCTGAACTTGAGTTGAAAGTTAGGGACGCAACAATATGAAAACATTGTGACAATAGTTCAAGATTATTATAAAAATGATCCAATATGCAGTAAAGCACAGCAGTACGTACTAGTACAGCTAGACAGTTAGGGTCAACTGAAGGGAGACCCCAGTCTCCTTTCCAGACTTGAAGTTCAAGAACATCATCGGACATTTTGAAAGATGTACTATTACTTCCGGTAAGGGCGGAGTAATCCGTGTTGACGTGTGATCATATGTGGTAACATAGAATGATTTTTAACCCATATCTATTCCATAAGGAAACAATAACGAATATAAATGATATGAAAAAAGAACGTTCATGTCCCCATCCGTTTTACGTCGTATGGAAATACAGATTATTTGTTAAGCGATATCACTTCCGGGTTATACCGGAGCGTGTTGTCAGGCGCTGAGAGGCTCACCGCCAAACTCTCCTATGTGGAACATAACAGTATGATTCCCAAAACTTTAATTGCTGGGGTTTCAGCAATCTGTATTGCGTATATTTTTGCTGTGTGGAATTCGGATTCCGATGAGTTTTTAAATGACATCGAAAGAAGTGTGATTGAAGCTTGGAGAAAACAAATTGAAGAACCGATCAGAAAGTTTGAACGAGTTGCTGTGGGGTGAGTGAACAGAAATAGTTACAACTACATAAAGCCATCGTGTCATAAAAACAACAACAAATGTAGTATTAAAGGCAGACTACAGAATGTTCTCGGTTCAGGGACATGTGGACATTATCATTTATTTTTATTGATGCAAGTTTACACTGTCAGTAGCCAGTTCACACCATTTTAAAATAAAAGGGTTGGATTTTTAAAACTATTTTTCTTGGGTTTGCTGATACATCAGTACAGGGATAATTCTAGGGTGGGGTCTTGTGCTTTTACCCCTAAATTTGAAAAAAAGGCCCACATTTTCAAATTCAATGGGGCATATTATAACATTGTGCTGTATGAGTGTATCTCTGGAATATTTGAAATTTTCACATAAAGGGCCCATGTCAGAACATTCCTAGAATGAACCCTGCCAGTATTGCAACAAACTTGACTCTTCTAAATGCTGTCGAATCGTTCTTGCATAAGCTGTAGAAGTCGCCTACTGTCCATTTTTGTAAAAAAAACGTTACACTTCTTTATCTCAAATATGAAACTTTATTAAACAAATAATTTTTATGCTGTCTTTTACATGAGTGCATTACTTTAAAGAAATCAAATATGTTGGTTTGGAATGTAATGAATGTCTTCGTCCATTTCAAAGCCAAAGAAACGCTCTGCATATCTGCAAGAAAACAGAAACGTTAAAGTTCATTACACATCATGACTTATGTACAATGTCAATATTGTCAGCGACATATGTTTTATGAAATAATTATTTGGACACAATTTAAGTCAGAGACAAAAGATTGTGAACTGCTCCTGTATTTTTCAGTAGTATCAAACAATCTGGATTTTAGCTGGTACCATGTTTACATTATTAAAAAACTTTAACCTGTATTACCAGTGTTGAAGATAGTTATGGAATAAAACTATTGCTTTGAAACTGAAGACACCACAAAATAATACCTGTACCAAGTACTGAAATCTATTCAGTTAAAATAATGAATTGGAGTTAGTATACATGGTTAATAAAACAGAACAAACAAATTTTAACATAGATTAGTACATCATGATCATCAAAAGAAGAGGACTTTCACTTTAAAAGGACATCAGATAATAAACAATGATAAAGTTATTATCATTTATTTCAATAATTTAAGCAACTTCATGCAAACAAATCATGTCAGGTATTTAATGATCCCATTCATTATAATGATAACAAGAAACAAATCTCACAACATGTTAGTGTAAACATGTAAGAAAGAAATTGACTAGTAACAGTCATTTAAATCATAACCAAGCAGATCAAAGTCGTGCAAATACTGGTCATGCTGATCAATGATTCATGATTGGAAATGATTTGTGTTGATATCCAAGCAGCAGCTGCAACTGTTTTTAAGTGATAAGACTGTTCATATACTGATGTGTAACTCAAGGCAAACACTCACTCCCAATTTTCCAAAGATGTTCAAGTCTTAAAGGGTCACTGATCTAAAGCAATTCCCCGGGACTGGTTGTTGCCTTTGTATTTGATTTTTCCCCGTGAGTACCCGGATGAGATGCAACGCACCTGAGCGTGACACAAGTCTGGGCTACCGTCTTGGAGGCAATATTTGTTTTACGCATTTTATAACACTGATTGGTTAACTCTGATCTATAGAGATTTCGACAAATGGAGCGTGTTAATTAATTTCTTCAGCCTAAACAAACAGACAAAAAGAACGGCGGAGGCTCATCGGATGTTGTTATTTGGAAATACCCCTGATGGTTATAGTTTAAAAATTTTAAAAAGTATCCCTGCAGTGAAAGAATTTTCGGATTTCAGATTGCGTCAATAATACAATTACTACTCCCTTGTTCTCATCCATGTTTTCTGGTATAACCCTACACTTGTGTGTATTTGTCGTCATTCACTTGATGCTCAGTTAATGAATTTATTACATATATAATTAGTAGTAGCACCACTCAGAATACCTGACAAAGGTTCCCATTTGGCATTTATTGTGCCTGGGGTAATTATTCAATCTAAATCCAGGTTTGAAGTGAGGTGAAATGTGTGTTATGTAATATGCACGTGGCAGCCCAGCAAGAGATGAATGATCAGTTGATTTACTTTTTTGTAAATCAGTGGATTGTTCCTAGTCATCAAAGGATTAACAGAAAATACATTGATTAATCACTGTTATCTTGCACAGTGGATATGTCAAAAGTGAGTGTTTACATGTCTAGGTTTACTAAAACAAAGGGAATACACACATATCCTTGCGTGAAGTCCTGATGTAAAAACAACGTACTTTGTTCAAAGGGTTCACCGATAATACGTTGATTGATTGCTCATTGTTATCTATCACTCAATGGATTTTTTAGGAACCGTGGACGTTATGAAAAATAGTTGTCACGTGGGCTTTCTCAGCTGACCCTTGAGACTTGACACCTATGTGAAACACCTGAAACAATCCAAGTGATCAGTTGAGAAATGAACACGGGATATAATATCCCGAAATGATATATATATTTTAAAAAATATTTGATTGTTACAGAGACACGTGACATCGAACAAATTTCTTTGTACAGCTGCAGACATGTGGGATATTGTTCCTTTGTGTGGATATTCACGGATACATTCCTTGAACAAGGAAACTGCCTACAATTATACACATAAATCATGTAAATTTGGTTGGTTGTAATTTTTATATTTGCATTTTGCTTTCCTTCATTTGCTGTACCATTGGTCAGATTCATTCTTGTTCCTCAACGTCTTGGTTGGAAAATTCTTCGATGCGCGATAGACGTTGTTTTCACAAGTCTTTTCCTTTGTAAGCGTGTATATATTACTGTCAATTTGTAACATGTGATTCTCTCAGGCAGTTTATAAAATGTGTAAATATTTCAGTCATTTTGACTGAAAAATCTGTCCATTTCTTTAACAGATTGACTAAAATTGATTGAGACGATCAAAAGGGCCTAAAAACATGACAATAGATTATTATGTAGGATTAAAAGCCAAACAATATAGAAATCGTAACATTTTCAGTCTCTTGGTGATGATATTAAACATAACAATGTTTAGAATTTGTTGTTATAATAATACAAATTGACAAATTTTTCAGTCAATTTGTAAAATAACTGAATATACAGGCATTTAATAAATTTCCTTAGTGAACATTTTGCACATTTTGACTAAAAATATAAACATGATAAAATAAGCAATGCTCAGGAGAAATATTTACTCTGCGTTGCAAGTCAAAAAAGTGTAAACGAAAATCGCACAATTACCAAGCAAGTGACTTATACACACTGTTGTGTGTCTTGTAGAATGAGTAAAGTACCATGGCTTCATTTGCCAGTGTTGTGGCTGCTGGTCTACACTTCACCAGTTGGTCTAGTACCCCGAACAGAAGCTCTGGTAGTTTATTATGAGCTAGGGTTGGTGTACTTGAGACCTGATTTCTTCAGATGGCTGCCAGAATGTCCCCACTTCCAGGTGATCACCTACCATTCTGACCAACAGTGAATTGATCCCGTGCAGAGTGTACTGCCAAAGTGTCCTGCACATCCTTGAGTAGGGAGTCATAAATATTGTCTCTGTCAACAAGCACCTCATCAAATGGACTTTAGCCATTTCACACCTCCATACCATCCTGTATGCCATCATCTAAAAATGTCATCATCCTCTGGTAATCATCCAGCACATGTTTTGTCTTTTCAACTGAATGCCAGAATGGCGATGTTGATAGAAGAAGTCCAGCATGTTCTCCTTGTGGTACCACATATTGACATACAACAAAAACCATGTTGAATCTGTAACCACAGAATCTTAGGAACAGAACCTTTCTCCTTTCTCTGAAGTGTATGCCTTCCAACCACCGTGCAGCCATTTTTCTCGTCCAATCCTCTTGATAGCGTCTTGCAGCATAATCTTGCAAGCTCATATGTACCACTTTCTCCACTCTTTCTGAAATTTATATCTCTGAATTCAGTGGACTGTGGTGTATGCTGTGTTGAAGTTCCAGGTACTGGATCATTCCGTGTTGAAGTTCCAGGTACTGGATCATCCTGTGTTGAAGTTCCAGGTAGTGGATCATCCTGTGTTGAAGTTCCAGGTACTGGATCATCCTGTGTTGAAGTTCCAGGTAGTGGATCATTCTGTGTTGAAGTTCCAGGTAGTGGATCATCCTGTGTTGAAGTTCCAGGTACTGGATCATTCCGTGTTAAAGTTCCAGGTACTGGATCATTCTGTGTTGAAGTTCCAGGTACTGGATCATCCTGTGTTGAAGTTCCAGGTAGTGGATCATTCTGTGTTGAAGTTCCAGGTACTGGATCATCCTGTGTTGAAGTTCCAGGTACTGGATCATTCTGTGTTGAAGTTCCAGGTACTGGATCATCCTGTGTTGAAGTTCCAGGTACTGGATCATCCTGTGTTGAAGTTCCAGGGACTGGATCATTCCTTGTTGAAGTTCCAGGTACTGGATCATTCTGTGTTGAAGTTCCAGGTACTGGATCATTCCGTGTTGAAGTTCCAGGTACTGGATCATCCTGTGTTGAAGTTCCAGGTACTGGATCATTCCGTGTTGAAGTTCCAGGTACTGGATCATCCTGTGTTGAAGTTCCAGGTACTGGATCATCCTGTGTCGAAGTTCCAGGTACTTGATCATCCTGTGTTAAAGTTCACAGGTACTGGATCATTCTGTGTTGAAGTTCCAGGTACTGGACCATTCTGTGTTGAAGTTCCAGGTACTGGATCATCCTGTGTTGAAGTTCCAGGTACTGGATCATCCTGTGTTGAAGTTCCAGGTACTGGATCATCCTGTGTTGAAGTTCCAGGGACTGGATCATTCCGTGTTGAAGTTCCAGGTACTGGATCATTCCGTGTTGAAGTTCCAGGTACTGGATCATTCCGTGTTGAAGTTCCAGGTACTGGATCATCCTGTGTTGAAGTTCCAGGTACTGGATCATTCCGTGTTGAAGTTCCAGGTACTGGATCATCCTGTGTTGAAGTTCCAGGTACTTGATCATCCTGTGTC